CTGGTGGTGCTAGCAGGTGATGGTCTACTAAAGTGAGGACAACCTCCCAGAGAGCCTTCTGTGGGCAGGGAACAGTATCAAAGAGGGAATCTCCACTGTAAGGATGATGCGGACAATGATGTCATCACTGTCGTCAACCAAGATATTCCTAGATGTACTCTGGGATTTCCTGCAGCCAGACAAAACTATTAGCAGAGCTGTGCTTTCTTACAATTTTTAATAACAATAAAAGCTCCTTGGCACATTCATATGGTATTATAATCTCCAAAATTTCCTGTCTTCTTCAAAACTCATTGAGAAACACCAGTGACTTATTCTCCAGTCACATCTACAGAAGCATGCATGGAATAAACCCAAATGAGGATGTAAACAACCGCTTTTCGCTTGAAAGGTAACTCAGTGACATTGAGGCCATGGGGAAGAGCCTGTTTTTTGCTGTTACCCTTAATTTCTTCGGGGCCTGGCATGGAGAAGAGACTTAGAACAAGCCCTCATCCGTTGGGCTGGATGCCAGCTTATACTTTGGTCTGGTGGTAGAAAGTCCCAGGGTAGATCCAGGAATGTTTTGGTTGGTGATGAGTGATGATGTCATCCTTCTGGGGACATCCCTCCCTTTGATATTGTTTCTTTCACTTTGGGGATCCTGCAGGGGGGGCATCATTACCTGAACAGGGCACAGCCTGCCTGGCTTCACAAGGCGCCCCTTAAGGATACTTCCTGGGGCTTATTCAGGAACAGAGCTTAGTCAAACAGTGTCCCACTGGGCCCTAGAATTTCTCTCTTGACTTTGTTCCTTGGACTAGAAAACAAACTCTTGCAGGCAGGAGTCCATGGCTGTTCCTTCCTGTAGTTCAAGAGCTGGGCTTTCAGAGGTTCTTTCTCCTAAGGACAAGTACACTCTGAGACGACCCAAACCAAAATTCGAACTCAGGGCATGAAACTGTATTTATTCTTGCACAGAAACACTGATAATGCAAAACCTGTTATTACTCCTTTCTGAGCTGATTAAGAGGGGATATATATATATATATAAAAATTTGTGTAAACTGCAAAATAAACTTGCCTATTCCACAAACACAGCTGATTATATTCATTATTAATTATATTCCATATCAATAAGCTTATCAAAATAGGCTAAATCAACTAACTCCATTCTAAATATTCATCAATAACGTATTTACCTAAAGCTTATGGAGAGTTACTCGTGGAATCAATCATACCTCTGGCGATTCCTAGGTGTGAAAGCTTAGATGAAATAGTTAGCTTCTCCCAGTCACAGGACATGCATAGAGACGAGGAGAGCAGAGGGGAGGCGGAAGGGCACTGTGATTAAGATCTCGGGCTCTGCGGTTGGACAGACCTGGATTCCAATCCAACTCTGTTCCACGGCTTATGAGTGGAGTACCCTTGGGCAACTGACTTCAACTTCCTATTTGCTTCCTTATCAGTGAAAATAAGAATTACACCACCTCACATCACAAAGATGTTTTTACAAAGATTACATCAAAGAACATCTATAAAGTGTTTATTTAGTTCAGTGTCTGGCTCATAATAATGTAACAATGTTCTGTAAACTATGGTTTAAAAAAAAAAACAAAAGAAATCCTGAAAGAACTTTTGGGATCACAAAGTATAAATCCTTTCATTTTTCAAATAGAACATAGAGGCCCACACATCAGATGTCTCGTTTTATGAGTTTATGATCTGGGAAGAGTATGATCTCTTTGTGACCTAATTTCTTTTTTTTAATCAAGTGTTTGGAATATTAAGCTAGTGACAAGATTGCTCTTTACTGAGGGCTTTCTCTGTTCACAATGTGTTGTTGCATATTATGGGTGCTAGAATGGGCACATGAGACTCTCTGGTCTTTTTTTTTTTTTTTTTTTTTTTTCCGACAGGCAGAGTTAGACAGTGAGAGAGAGAGACAGAGAGAAAGGTCTTCCTTTTCTGTTGGTTCACCCCTCAGCTGGCCACTACGGCTGGCGCACTGCGCTGATCTGAAGCCAGGAGCCAGGTGCTCCCTCCTGGTCTCCCATGCGGGTGCACGGCCCAAGGACTTGGGCCATCCTCCACTGCCTTCCCAGGCCACAGCAGAGAGCTGGACTGGAAGAGGAGCAACCGGGACTAGTACCTGGCACCGCAACCGGGACTAGAACCCAGAGTACTGGCGCTGCAGGCGGAGGATTAGCCAAGTGAGCTGCGGTGCCGGCCTTGAGGTGATTTTGAAAGAAACCTCTATTGCCTGAATCAGCATCCCTTGTTAAGTAAAATGTATAGGAAACTGTTGCTTGGGTCTGAGCTCCCATATTAAGCTCCAACAGACCACACCAAAATGGAGTCATTCATGCTAAATGCTACATAATCAAACTGAAAATTTAAGGAAACAGTTAAGTTCCCAAATAGATCAGTTTTTCCTGAAAATAGGAGATTCCCAGTCACTATTTGGAAAAGGCACAGCCAACCTGAGTCACTGTAGTAAGGTAGTCCCCGCTGCTTAAACTGTTACCACAGAAAAAGAAAAAAATAACTTGGAGTAACCTGGTGTTAACCAGTTCGCTTCTCTCTATTATTCTGTTTCCTCCTCGCCCTGCTATGGGCAGTGAAGCACTCCCTGTGTCTCACAGAAGGAAACATCGCCTGACTCTAGAATCCCACATAAAAACCGGTTTGATCCTTAGCTAAATCTGTCACACTTTTGTCTTCTAGCAAATTAATGGGTTGAAGTCATAAACCTCACCCTTACTCCACCTTCCTCTCTGCCCTGCACACACACAAAGAAGAGTCACAGGAACACACAGCCAAGGACAGAGACCACTGAAGGAAGTCTCCTTGCCAGCACCTTGAACTTTGACTTCCCTGTTTCCCCAGCTGCAAAAAATAAAGTTCTGTTTTTCAAACCAACCAGCTGACTATGCTGCAGCACCTGAGCTAACTAAGACAAACACTTACGTTATTGTTTCAAGAGAATGTGTACTACTTACACGCTGCTTGGAGAAGATGCTGTGAGATAGGTCACCTGCCTCCATCAATAGCAATGCTTATCAGACTTCCAAGCAGGAAAGAACCAAATGTCTGTGTCAGGACAATCCTGAGTCACTTTATGTCAAAGGAGTTGATCTGTACTTTAAAGGGCAAGGCTCTGTCTTCTGCCCCCTGGCTGCTATGCTACCCTGTCAAGGAACTTTCGCTGTGGTCAGGGGAAAAGGCTCTTACTTGGTGGTTTTGCCTCATCACATTAATAAATATATGTGTTAATTTTATTTGAAAGGCAGAGTTACAGAAAGAGTAGTAAAGAAAGATAGCAATCTTTTATTTACTGGATAACCCCCAAAGGCTGAAACATCTGGGATTGGGCCAGATGGAAGCCAAGAGCCTGGAATTCCATCTCCGTTTCCCACCTGAGTAGCAGGGACCCAAGTACTTGGGCCATCCTCGGATGCTTTCCCAGGTGCATTAGCAAGGAGCTGGATCAGAAGTGGAGTAGCAGGGACTGCAGCTGGAATTGACTTGGGATGCTGGTATCACAGATGGCGGCTTAGCTCACAACATTGGCCCCTGCTTATCACTTTTTTGGTCAACCGATGGTTGTAGGCATTCTTTTGATTTAGGTTTCCTTATGTCTTTCCGCAGTCTTCACATGTTCAAGAAACATTAAATAATACTCCAGATGTTTTAGGATCTAGTAGAATCCTAGAATCTAGGATCTGACCCCAAATCAATGAAATCACTGAACCACTGTGTTTGTGATGATTCCTAAAACGTTTTAGTTGTAAGTAGCACTTCTTTGGGACCTGATCAACAGTTCAGTCAAGTTCAATAATAATGACAATATGAAACAAGTTTTTTGTTTTGTTTTTTAAGGATTTATTTTATTGTTTTGAAAGTCAGAGTTGCATAGAGAAAGGAAGAGACAGAGAGAAAGAGATATTCTGTCCACTGGAGCACTCCCCAGACGGCCACAACAGCCAGCCCTGGGCCAGGACAAAGCCAGGAGCCTGAAACTCCATCCAGGTCTCCCATATGGTGGAAAGAGAAAAAGAGAAAAAGAGCTAGAGTGAGTGAGATAGTGATAGGGATAGATAGAAATAGAAATCAAGATCAGATGGAAATTGAGATCAAGATAGAGGGATCTCCCACCTGCTGATTCACTTTCCAAATGGGTACAACAGTCAGGGCTAGGCCAGGCCAAAGCCAGAAATGAGGCACTCCATCTGGGCGGCAGGAACTCAAGTCCTTGGACCACCCTCTGTGGCTTCCCAGGTGCATAGTAGGGAGCTGGATTAGGACTAGAGTAGCTGGGACTCAAACCAGCGCTCAGAAACGGGATGTGCCTTAGCCTTCTGCGCCAAAGCATCCAGCCTGGGCTTCACTTTTTTTTATAAGTCACCGTGTCATGTAATACTGCTTCTACCAACTGGTGAATGGTAATTATGATTCCCTTTTTACAGAGGAGATGACAGGCTTAGGGAAGCTAAGAAACTAGCCCAAGTTCACACTGCTATGGAGAATGTGGGTTTCAAACTGAAGACAGCCACTCCATGTGCCAAGGTAGCATCAGCGAGGATGAGCTAAAAATAATGAATCAGAATCAGGCGCAGTTTTTTAAACCTCAAATGATGTGTATGTTTAAATCTGCAGTTACCTTACACAAGAATAAACTGATTTTTTAAAAAGGCTAGCCATTTAGTGGATCTGTTCGAATGGCTCATGTCTATCAGAGTCCACTCTGGTTCCCACAATTCAATTTGCTCTTGGGGCTTTTACTATGCATCCCGCGCCTTTTCATCTTTTCTTATTTTAGTTCAGCTTGGTGGCTTTTTTCCTTCTTTCAAAGCTTGGGAAGTCAGGCCTTTGTGCAACCTTGGTGAGTCAGTTCAACCTCTAATTATTTCAGTCTCCTTCCCTGTAAGAGGAGCAGTCAAAATACAAGCAGACACTGGTGTTTTGCATCAACTCACACGCACTTGGTGGGGTAAGGGGGAATCCAAGCTGGCCCAGGACGCAGAACAATTGGCAGCAGCTGAGACACAACAAAGGCCAAAGCCTCAGGCTGGCTCTGTCTTGAACGCCACCCCACAAACTGACCCTTCATCAGAGCGACCCCACCAGGAGGACCAGGGCTGTCCCACTGAGGGGCTGCACTTCACGGCCCAGCACCTGCTGTTGACCGGGAGCCGTCGTGTTTTCTAAGACCAACAAAGCGTCCTCTGACAATCAGGACAAGAGGAGGTTAGCTAAGGGCCCCCACACATAGAATCCTTATCAAATATGTCTCCAGCCCTCGGACAAGCGACAAAGCAGCCCATCAGAGTGGCCGTCCTGAGCCCCTCCACCCACCCGCTTCCCTGACAATTGAGCCCCCGCGATGGTAACCCGAGGCCCCCAGGCAGCGGGATGGTCGGAGGCCTGATTTTCAACACATGTTTTATTAATTCCTTCTTCCCGGGCCTCGTTAAGAAACTATAAAAAGAGCTGCGTGTCCCTCCCCTGCCAGGAAAAAACTGGGACGTGTGTGTGGGGAGGGGAGCGGCGTGAAAACCAGAGCGACGGGAATCTCAGCTTTGAGGAAACACACGCGATGAAAGCCTCCGCCCCAGCTCTGTCAACATCTGTCACTTCGCTCTCCCCGGGGCGGGGAGTCCTGGACGTCACCAGGCTGCAGGAGAGGCAGTGCGTGCCGGCGAGCGTGGGACTGCGAGGCCCGGCACGGCGGCGCGCGGGGGAGGGTCTTCCCGGAAGCCGCGGGCCGCGCTCGGGCCGCACGTAGCGCCGGGCGTGACTCAGCGCTGACTCACCGCCCTCGCGGCCCCGCGGAGTTCCCTGCCGTCAGCTGCGTGCGCAGCGCCTGTGGCCGGGGCGCGCACGCGGCCTGGCGTCCATGGCTGCCGCGTCGCGGCCGCAGGGCCGCGGCTTTTCGATAGAGCCGCGTGCTTTGGCGCGGAGTCCCGACCCAGAGCCGTGAGCGGCCTCCGCGCGCCATCTCGCTTACCCATCTCTTTCTTCTGTCAGAAGCCTGTTGCAACAGCAGCCCTGACGTCGCCGTCGCGCGGTGGTCAGCGATGACCTCCGGGGTGGGGGTGGGGGGCAGTGCTTCTGTGGAACCGAGCTCATCTCGTCCCACGTTTTTGGCTTGAGGTTATCTCTGCACCGGGCCCCGCAATGGTGGTGACGCAGGTCACGTTGGCACTTGACGTCTCGTGTGTGCGGGCTTCGAGTGGCTTTTTGCGAAAGGGCGGAGGCCGAGACGTGCTTATCTGCACCTCAGGCGGCTCTTGGCTTCTGTCCTGGGACAGGGGTGGCAACGCTGCTAAAGCAGAGAGGAACGGGGAGAGTGGCAGGCGGGGCCTCAGCTGCAGCCCTTGACCACCTGCCTCTGACCCTTGGGCCTGCACGGCTGGCGGTGGGCGAAGCCCCGGCCTGTGCCGCCAGCATCCCAAGAGGATGCCCTTCAGAGCCCTGGCTGCTCCACTTCCCATAAAGCTCCCTGCGAGTGAGCCTGGGAAGGTGGCCCAAGTGCCCTGCACCCACTTAGGAGACCCGGGAAGAAGCTCCTGGCGTTGGCCAGGGCTGGTGGAGGCCATTTAGGGAGTGAACCAGCGGATGGAAGAGCTCTCTTTAACCCTTTCAAAAAAAATTTTTTTTAAATAGTTTCTCAGGCCTGGGTCCATACTGTGGACTCAGACTGGCCTAGGCTGAGAGCCTAGAATTTTTATTGACCAGCCTATCAGTGTTGCTTATGCACACCTGGGATTTAAATCCACTATTGATGGAGCCCCTGAGAGTGTGGACCTTCTGTTGTAGACCTGGGAAGAATCCCTACCATCGCCAACACTCACCTCCAAAACTGATTTTGAAGTGCTGACGACAGGCAGTGATCATGTTTCTAAATTTGCCCTTATGTATGGTGTTATGTTTGCTTAAACTGTGTATGAATATAGACAAATTTCTTTTTAATAAAATTGAGTACCTATAAATTCTGTTTTCAAAAATGATTTATTCTTTGTTTATTTGCAAGGCAGAGTGAGAACAAGAGAGAATCTTCCATCTGCTCTTGAATGTCTACAACAACCAGAGTTGGGCCAGGCCAAACCCACAAGCTAGGAACTCCATTCCGGTCATTCACGAAGCTGTTAGGAACCCAAGTACTTGTGTCATTACCTGCTACGTCTCAGGTGTATCGGCAGGAAACTGGATCGAAAGTGTGGATTAGCCAGAACTTAACCCAGGCACTCCAGTGTGGGATGCATCCCACTCAACACCTTAACCTTGCACCACAAGGCCCAGCCTGGAGCAAATTTTCTTTATTTCAGTGTAGTATTTCCCAAGTCTGAATCTGTATCAGAATTACCACCAGTGCATTTTGAAAACACTAATTCCTAGGCCAGGCCCTAGGCCTAAAGAAATACTACCTCTGAAGGTAAAGCCCCAGAGTAGGTATTTTGCTGTGCTTTTCATAATTGGTCGATGAAGTTTGCAAAATTCCGCTGTTCCCAGTAAAAAGCACAGTAGAAAACTCCCTAACCCTGGGATGGTTGGCCTACATTGCTCCATATGGAGTTTGCTCTTCTCTGTCTGCAGTGTTTCCATTGTAGTCATTTGCAATCGCTGTTTTAAAGTATGTGTGTTCACATAAAATATCAACTCACTATTGTATTGAGAAATTCTCTTCTTAAAAAATTTTATTTTATTTGAAAGAGAGGGAGAGACAGATCTCCCATTTGCTGGTTCACTCCCAGAGATGGCTGCAATGACCAGAGCAGGGCCAGGCTGGAGCCAGGAGATTCTTCCAGGTCTCCCACAGGGATGGCAGGGGTTCAAGTACCTGAGCCATCTTCCACTACTTTTCCCAGGCCATTAATAGGGAGCTGGCTTGGAAGTGGAGCAGCCAGGACACAAACCAGAGCCCATACGGGATGCTGATATTGCAGGGGGCAGTTTTATCCATAATGCTGGCTCTAAGAAATTCACTTCTTTAGAAATCAAGTGTGAGTTCTTTGTATTCTAAATTTTTTCAGAGGATGATGGTGACTGGTGGATAATCTGGGAGCTTATTTTGAGATTTTTCTATTTTTGGATATTTTACTTGTTTCCTCATTTCATTTTCATCTTTCTCCATAAGTTTTTCTTTATCATCTTTGTTAGCATAGTGGCAAAAAACCTAGATATGATATGTGTCTGACAAAGATATCCTCTCTGTCTCGTAGCCTAGCTTCTCCTAGACTGGTCCTTGGTCCAGCAGCCTGGGCAGCACCGGCAGCTTGTATGACCTGTATTCTGAGACCTATCCATAACTGCTGAATCTGAATTTTCACCTTTGCAAAGTCCACAGGTAAGATGTGTGTATAATAAAACTTGGGAAGCATCATAATAATGGAGAGTTACATGCTGGGACTGGTGGAAGGGAGAGACAAACAGGATGTCATGCGGGAGGGAGCATGCATTAGTGTCCTAGGGGTGCTGTCGTAAAATACCGTGACCTGGGTGACTTGAAAATAGAAATCCATTCTGTTAGAGTTCTGGAGGCCAGAAGTCTGCAGTCAAGCTGTCAGCAGGGCCATGCTCCCTCTGAGATGCTGGGTAGAATATTTGCTGGCCTCTTGGCTGGGTTCCAGTGGAGGTCCTGGATCTTTGGAGGGTCTTGGCTTCTAACTGTTATTCCAGTCATTGCTGCTGGGGTTGCATGGCAGGCTGCCTCTGTCTTTGTCTCCATATCATCTTCTTATAAGAACATAGTTAAGGGGTCGGCGCCCTGTCTCACTATGCTAATCCTCTGCCTGCGGCGCCGGTACTCTGGGTTCTAGTCCTGGTTGGGACGCCAGATTCTGTCCGGTTGCCCCTCTTCCAGTCCAGCTCTCTGCTGTGGCCCTGGAAGGCAGTGGAGGATGGCCCAGGTCCTTGGGCCCTGCACCCGCATGGGAGACCAGAGGAAGCACCTGGCTCCTGGCTTTGGATCGGCGCAGCATGCCGGCCGTAGCGGCCGTTTTGGGGGTGAACTCTCTGTCTCTCTCTCACTGTCAAACTCTGCCTGTAAATAAATAAATAAATAAATAAATAAATAAATAAAAGAACATAGTTATATAATAATCTGAAAAGACCCTATTTCTAGATCAGATCACATCCATAGTTACCACGGGTTAGGACTTCAATAAAGCTCTTTGGGGGAACACAATTCAATCCACATATAACAGGGAGATCTGAAAATTTTAGTTTCAGTAAATGTAAATGCCTTATGTAAAAGATGATATTAAAATAAGCATCATTTAACAATAACTTGGAGGACTGACATTGTGGTGGAGAGGATTAAGCTGCGACATGTAACATCAGCATTCCATATGGGCACTGGTTTGAGTCCCAGCTGCTCCATTTCTGATCCAGCTCCCTGCTAATGCGCCTGGGAAAGCAGCAGAAGGTGGCCCAAGTACGTGGGCCCCTGCTACCTATGTGGGGAACCGAGTGAAGCTCCTGGCTCATGGATTTGGCCTGGCCCAGCCTCGGCTGTTGAAGCCATTTGGGGAGTGAACCAGTGGATGGAAGATTCTATCTTTCTGGCTCTTGCTCTCTCCCACCCCCACCCCTCCATCTGGGCTTCTGGCTTTGGCCTTACCCAACCTGGAGCATTTGGAAAGTGAAGAGCAAATGGGAGTTATCTGTTGACTCTGTCTTAAATAAATTATATATATAATTTATATATAATATATAAAATTCATATATAAATTATATATATTTATATATGTAAATATATAATTTATACATAACTTTATATAAAAATATATAAATATATAATTTATATATAAATTTTTTATATATAAATATATATAGTTTATATATATAAATGTATAATTTATATATATAATATAAAATATATAAAATTGAATAATATGGTTGAGACTGAGTCATCTGAATGATTGATCATCTGAATCAAAGATGCCAGCCAAGCATGTGCCTGTTTGTTGGTTGTTTTGTTTTACCACCGGGAATAACAGAGCAGCCCCAGTTGCTGTCCTCTCCTAACTCAATTGTTTTAACTCTTCTTTTGTTCTAAAACCTATTCACTGTCTTTCCATTTTTTTCTAGTTATTTTTGATGGGGCCAAGCACTAGCTTCCATTGGTTTCTATTGCTTACAATAAAAGAAGGTCAATTGCAACAAAAAATATTAATACAGCAAACACACATTGCTTGTGGCCATCCTACTAGGACAGCCTGAAATAGTAGTCTGCATTCATATTGAATAAAATATGTGCTCTTGAAGGGGCAGGCATTTGGTACTGCAGTTAAGATGCTGGAAGTGATGTCTGCATCCCATGTCAGCGTGCCTGAGTTTGAGTCCTCCATCCACTTCTGATTCTGGCTTCCTGTTAATGCACATCCTGGGAGGCAGCAGGTGATGGTTCAAGTACCTGGTCCCTGCCACCCACGTGGGAGGCTGAGTTCCTGACCTCTAGCTTCACCCTGGCCCAGCTCTGGCTGTTGTGGGCATTTGAGGAGTGAAGTAGCAGATGGAAGATCTCTCTCTCTCTCTCTACCTTTCAAATAAGTAAATATAAAAGAAATTTAAAAATTGTTTTGTAAATGTACTCTTGAAACATGTCAATTGTCGTTTTGTTTCAACTGGTTTGACCAGGTGTCATTATTGCTCTATATTTCAAACTGAGCCAGTCAAACCACCAAACATGCAAATTACCAGGAGTTATGAAGAAAGGAATCTCTCTTATGTGCCTTGTAGACACCCATGATCTTTTTTATGTTATCTCCAACTCCTCACTGTGGTTTTCGTGATATTTGCAATATTAAAGAGATTAAAGAAAAGTATTGCAAAGTTTCTTATTAGAGCTGTTTTACCAAGGGGCTATTGGCATAATAGAAACACAGACCCTGTAACTCAAGGGTCATAGGATCTTCCCTCTGCAAGCAAAGAAATATTACCCACAGCTTTCATATTGCCAATACTACATGTGTGTCTTGAGTTCTCATAAAATTTCACATGACCGAGGTTTATCAACTTCTCAAAAGTCTTAGTCCTTCCTTTCAAAAGTCTCCTTCCTTTTACAGGCACGTGCTGTTATGGTTTGAACAGCATTTGGCTCCCCAAACTTGGGAAGATATTTAAGCCCCAAAGTGTCATGTTAACGGTTGCTGGATTAGGAGGCGGGCCCAGTGGGAGGTCTTTATGTTGTGTGACATGCCCTCAGAAGGAAGTTCTTGTAAGAGGGTCATTTTGTAAGCTGAGTTTGGCCTAGCTCCTATCTCTGCTTTTGGTTCACGGTGTGATCATTCCTCTGCATATGCAGAGGAGGTGGTGAGAGGCCAGCCCCTCACCCAGCTAGAAGCCAGACTAGCAGGGCCAACTGAACCTGAAATGTTAGCCTCCCACCTGTAAGTCAAAGTAGACATTTTCCTTCCCAAGAGGCTCTTCTCAGGTATTTTAGCTGTAGCAATAGAAAGCTGAGGACTGAGCATGCCGGCGGCTGCATGTGCTTGTAGTTTCCTGTGGCTGGAATGCAGGGGGCATATAAGAAAACCAAATGCCAAAATTGTAACTTTTTAGAAATTCTAGTGAATTATGAATACCACGGTGAGGACTTGGTATACTTAGACATAATTCTTCAATGGATTTTGATCAAGGTAAAGGAAATGACTTAATGGAGTGCACACAAGTGTTAGATGCTTGGAGCTACAATGTCTGTTGATTTCCTGTTCATGATAAGTGAGGATTTCTTTCTTATACCACTTAGGACTTTCAGTAAAATATTTAAACATCAATAGATATTTTAAATCACTGATAGACAATATAAATACATATTTTGTTAAAAGTACATATGCCTCATCTTTATCTTCAGCTTTCTTTTCTCTTTGTGCTTGTTGGATTCTGTCATCTATATGTCATTTTAGCTTTATTAACATTTACATAATTAGGTGTTCTGGAGTGTGTCTATTAGATTAACCCTGAAAGTCAGAAAGTCTTAAAAAATATTTGTATTATTGAGACTGTATGAATATTCTTTAAATTTTATTTATTTGTTTGAAAGGCAGAGGGAGAGAGAGAGATCTCCCACCCACTGTTCACTCCTCAAATGCTCACAATAGCCAGCCAGTTTGTGTCAGGCCAAAGCCAGGAACTCAGGAACTCAGTCTTCCATACCGGTGACAAGAACCCAACTATTTGAACCATTACCTGCTGCCTCCCAGAGTCTGCATCAGCAGGAAGCTGAAATTGGAAGCAGAGGTGGGACTTAAACCCAGGAATTCAATATGGGTTGTGGCACCCCCAACTAGCATCTTAAGCACTAGGCCAAACACCTGTGCCAGTATTCTTCAGAGCAGAGAAAATGGTATAGTATAATTAGATGTCCTTTTTTGTAGTCTGTTGTTTTTCTTAGAGTTTCTAATTTACAAAAATTTTTGTCTTTGCATTATCTGCCATAATTTCTTCCAAAATTTTCCAATATACTCTGTGGTGATAGGAGACCTCTAGTGTCTGGTTTTTCTTGAGCCTCTTTGGACTGATTGCATTCCAGGCCTGTTGCACAGCTGTAGGAATGAGGCATTATGAGGCATTACAATACAAGGAGCCACTGTTTTCTAGATCCTTTAAATTTTCTTTACTTACTCCCTCTACTCTCAAGTACCTTTAAAGATGTGATGCCTGGGAGATCAATTTACTGTTTTTTTTTTTGTTTGTTTTTTCAAATGTCAAATCTAAGCTGTATAAAATTCTAGGTTGAAAATCATTTTCCTTCAGAAACTTTGATAGCGTTTTTTTTTTTTTTTTTTTTTTTTTTTTTACCAGCATTGGAGGTGAGAAATCAAATGAAATTACAGCTCTAATCAAGAGCAGAGAAAGACTGGGGTCCACAGTCCCTATGAAGGCATACCTTCAAAGGCCTGGGGACATCCCACCAGGTCCGGCCTCCCAGTGGTTTCATAGCACTTCCCAGTACTGCTGCCCTGGGACCAAAACGCCCTTTACAGCACACTCTTGTGTTACACTCAGCCTGCACCCAAACCATAGCAGAGTCCTAAAACAAAGGAGGTTAGGTTACAGAAGAAGGATGAATAAACAGATATGTAAATGCACTCTCAGTCTTGAAAACGGAGTTAGTCACGAACTAAATAACCACTTGTAGCCATTTATGAAGATAAAGACATGCATAGAGTATTCTAAAACCAAATGTAGCAATCAACAAACAATTTCTGGTTTTCTTTCAATCAACTATCCTAGTTTTCTAAAGGGAAAAGAGCAAAATTTCCAATGCACAGTGCCTCTCATCCTTCCCCACTACTCTGAACACAGATGCAGAGACAGACAATGGCACCAACAACCCTTCTTAAGGCTTATGTCCTTACTAAAATACTGTGGTTCACAGAGTTCACTTTCTATTCTTAGAACAGTCTGATGACTCATTTTATACACTTAGAATCTAGTGAGGATTTTCAGATCTGTGATACCTGGCCTGACCATTGATGTGTTTTCCACGTTAAAACACATGTTTTGGTGGAGAGCTGTGAAAATGCTTATCTTTTAAAATTAAGTATAATTTATGTACAGTGGATTTTTACCCTTGGCAATGCATAGCTCTATGAGTTTTAGCAGGTGTGTGTGGCCATGTAACCACCACCACAGTCAAAACACAGAACAGTCCTTTCAGTGCTTAAAGTCTGCCTCCAGAGCACCACCCCCACACAGTACCCTTTTAAGGTCACATCCTTCCCGTATCCCCTGGTCCCTGAAAATCACTTATCTGTGTTCTCTCTGTAGTTGCCCCTTCCAGAAGCTATGCAAGAGTTATCAAGCTGTGGTGTAGTCGTTTGAATTTGGCTTCCCTCCTGTATCACAGTGCATTTGAGATCTATCCATTTTCCTGCATGCACTAGTAATTTCTTCTCTTTGCTGATAATCCACTGTATGATTATGTCACAGTTTATCCAATGTTGGCATTTAACCATTTACCATTGACTTTATTTTGTCAAGGTTAGTTTTATGTCTGTGGAATTACATATCTACTGAGAAGGGAAAAATAAATACCCCTTATTTATTTGTAATTCTTCAGTTACTTTAGATTTACTTTACAATATATTAGGTATAACTATTAAAAATAATTTTAAAATAATTTAGAAAACAGTGTTCACCACTGTAATTGTGAGTGTACATTGAAATGAATGTTGTGCTTTAAAAGGCCTCCCCTACCTCGGAGGGTAGTATAACATGGGAGATTGTTGTTGTTGACAACACCCATCATGTTGTGCTTAAACTTCTGAAGGTAGATGCCCCAGGAAGACCCCATTGGAGCCAAACCTTTGACATGGCTCACTTCCCATTTAAACCCCATTAATCTGTCACCCCATGGAGGCAACAGGTGCTTTAGAAAATAGCCAATAGAAAGATAATTCTTGCCCTTCAGGATCAGTGCCAATGGAAAAAAGTGACCTGAAATACAGATCTCAGGCCTGACATGATGAAAATCGAATGCCACAGCTGTTGTCTCTCGGAGCTGTCACTCAGCATGTTTTAATTTCACAGTTTTGATTTAATCTTTTCTAAATACAGCACCAGACAAATGCAGAACAAGATAACAAGAGTTCCCGGCAAAGGAGCCAGGTTGGTATTAGCACCACCACCTCTCCTCTCCTCCCCAGCCCTTTGGGGTAGGTTTTCTATGCTGATTGTATCTCCAGGATGCCATTTTTTATGTGCCCTAGGGCCAGGGCTGCTTAACTGGCTCATGAGCCCAACAAGAGTCTTTGAGTTTTGATTTCAGGGTGACTTATTTACCTTTCTCCCCATGCCAGCTGGGATACTTCTACCACCCATTTTAACTTGGAATAAACAGTGGAGTTGGATTTGAAAACAAAAATCAAAATTTTCAGTGATGAGTGCACTCTAAAATTCTTTTCAGGTCTAGAATTAAAAATAGCATTTTCAGCCATGTGTTAACGTTCTTTTTCTTATGAAGTCATTTTTAAGTATGTATTTTTTAAATTGAATTTTTGATTATTTGAAAGGCAAGACACACGCACACGCATGTACACACACACACACAAATACACTGTAGAGATAGCTTTCATCAGTAGTTTAAATCCTAATTGCTAGGCTAAAGCTAGGAGCCAGGAACTCAATCCAGGTCTCATGTGGATGGTGGGAATTCAATTACTTGAGCCATCACTGCTGCCTTGAAGGTTCTGCCTCAGCAGCAAGTTGGATCAGGGACTGGAGCTAGAAATAAAACCCAGAGACTATGACATGAGATGGGGGCATTTTAATAGTTAACCCATTATACCTGCCCTCTAAAAAATCTGTGACGTTGTAACTTCTATACAATGAAATGTACCTGTTTGACATGCACCACCATTTTGAAAAATGTGTATCACTGAGAAAACCACCACTTTAGGATATGGAACATCAATCTCTGGCCCCCGTAAGCCTCCCTACATCTGTTTTTGGTCAATCTTGCATTTACCCTTCACCATAGGAAACTGTATTGCTTTTAATAAGGTTTGTTTGCCTTTTTCAGAATTTCCTATAAAATATGTACTCTTTTGAGGCTGGCTTTTGAGATTCATCAACATTATTGCATGTGCAAGGGCACTTCAAAAAGTTTGTAGAAAAGTGAGATTAAAAAGTTCATTTTGATGCAACATGTTTTTTGAAACCCATGCAGTTTTTTTTTTTTTTTTTTTTTTTTTTTAATAATACACATTTTCTGGGGCCAGCGCTGTGGCGTAGTGGGTTAACGCCCTGGCCTGAAGCGCCGGCATCCCATATGGGCGCCTTTTCGAGACCTGGCTGTTCCACTTCCAATCCAGCTCTCTGCTATGGCCTGGGAAAGGAGTAGAAGATGGCCCAAGTTCATGGGCCCCTGCAACCATGTGGGAGACCTGGAAGAAGCTCCTGGTACTGGCTTCGGATCGGCATAGCTCTGGCCATTGCGGCCAATTGGGGAGTGAACGATTGGATGGAAGACCTCTCTGTCTCTCTCTGTCTCTCCTCTCTCTGTGTAACTCTGACTTTCAAATAAATACAATAAATCTTAAAAAATACACATTTTCTGTGAGCTTTTTGAAGTACCCTTGTGTCTGTAAGTCATTTTTCCTTAGTTTTCTCCATTTTTATTCCATTTTTCCCCCCAGAAATCTTTAATTGAAAGAATAAAAATTTCATGTATTTCATAAGTACAACTTCAGGAACATAGTGATTCTTCCTTCCGTACCAGCCCTCCCACCCGTACTCCTATCCCCCTTCCTCCTCCCTCTCCTATTTCCATTCTTACTTTTTACCAAGACCTATTTTCAGTTAATTTTAGGTTGTATTCCGTTTTATGGATATATAGTCATATGTTGCATAGTGATATTTTGGTCAGTGACAGATGACATATAACAGTGGTTCCATAAAATTATATCACCTAGTGACCTTGCAGTCATCTGTGTTATTCAGCTGTTCACCACTATGATGAAATACCTATGGCAACTAACTGAAAAGAGAAAAAGGTTATTTAGCTCATAGTTATTTAGAGGTGTGAGTACAAGATAAGGTGGTTTGGTGCCCAGCAGATGGAAATTGTATGGGTGGAGAGAGACAAATCAGGAAGCAGAGAGAGCATCTGGGCCCAACTCAGGCCCTTGGAACCAAACCTCTTGCAAGCACTACCTTCTAATGGCATGGACCCAGTGACCTACATACCTACCAGGAAGCCTACCTCTCAAACATTGTCACTGGGTTAAGTTTCCACCCTCTTGATGCCTTTAACTTAAGACTTTGGGGTTGAAATAACTGCTTGGGTTTAGGGGCCGAATCATACTCAAACCATAGCACCTGATGTTTACACAGTGACAAAATTACCTAACATCTCTCACAATGTAGATACATTGTAGTTAGGCAATGCATGACTATACCATACTCTGTTTATCCACTTACCTGTTGACAGACATTTGGATTGAGTCCACATTAAGGCCATTCTAAGTAAAGCTGATATGGATATTTGCATGTGAGTCGCTAGGTAGTAGCCATTTCTCATGAGAAGAAAGGAGGAAATGGCTGAGTTGTATGATTACATGTATATTTAGCCTTTTAAGAAACTGCCAGGGTATTTTCCAGAGTATTTCTGTTATTTTAAATGACTACCAGTAATATATGAGCATTTAAGTATTTCCATGTCTTCAACAACATTTATATTTGTCAGGTTATAAGAATAATTTTAACTATTCTAATGGGTTTATAGAGGTATATCATTGTGGTTTTAATTTACAGCCTTCTGAAGACTAAGATAATTGAATATTTTCTTATTGGCTATATGAACAGCCTTTTATGGTAGGATTTCTATTTGACGCTTTTGTCAATATGGTTTTTGATTATTACCTTAATATTACTGAGTTGTAAAAGTGTTTAAAAAGTATGTATATATTTGGAATACCAGACCTTTATCAGATAAATGTGTTACAAATATTTTCTCCCACCTTGTGGTTTTGATTTTTCTTTCTTAATGATATCTATCTTCTTGTTAAGGATTTATTTATTTATTTGCATAGCAGAGTTAGAGAGGAGAGAGAGGTTGATCTCCCATCAGCTGATTCATTTCCCAAATGGCTGCAACAGCCGCAGCTGTTCCAGCAGAAGCCAGAAGCCTGAAACTCCGTCCAAGTCTTTCATGCTGGTGGCAGGGACCTCAGTACTTGAACCATCTTCTTTCCCAAGAGCATTAGCAGAGAGCTGGATTGGAAGTGGAGCAGCCAGTACTTGAACCTGTGCTCATATGGATGTCAGTGCCACAAGCTGCAGGTTAACCTGCTGTGCCACAATGCTGGCCAGTGATGTCTTTCAAAGAGCAAAGGTTTTTAATTTTTCAGAAAGTCTAATTTGTGAGTTTCTGTCTTTTATACTATTTGCGTTTTGTGCTCTAAGAAATCATTGCTATCTCAAGGTTGCAATGATTTTCTTTTGGAAGTTTCATGGCTTTAGCTCTTGGAGATTCAGGTCTGCTATCAATATTCAGTTACCTGGGGCAGGCATTTGCCCTAATAGTTAAGGCATCCACATTCCATATCAGTACTGGGGTTCCATCCCCAGCTCTGGCTTCTGGTTACAGCTTCCTGCTACTGGGAGGCAGCAGCGATGGCTCAGCTGATTGGGTTCCTGGCTCCCAGCTTCTATCTCAGCTCAGCCTTTGCTGTTGCAGACATTTGGCAAGTGAACAAGCATATGGGTGCTGTCTCTATCTCTCCGTATCAAATAAATATTTTTAATCTAGTTATATTTGTATATAGTACAGAATATGTATTGATGTCCATTTTTTTCATTTGTCCCAGCAGCATTTGGTTAAGTGACAAACATTTTTGGAAATCAATTAAAGGCATACATTTGACTTATTTTTAAAAATGTTTTATTGATCCACATGTATACATTCATGTCAATAACAGACTATCTGAATCACGTTGGCCTTATACTTTAAATCAGTCAATATAAGTCTTCCAAATTTGTTTCTTTTACAAAAGTGTTTTCTAGCTCATTTGCAATGTCATATAAATCTTAAAATTGACTTGTAAGTTTCTACAAAAAGTCTGCTAAGTTATTGATGAAAATTACATTAAATCAAGTTGGAGAGAATTTCCATCTTAATATTTAGACTGCCAATCTGTGCACCTGGTGTATCCCTCCATTTATTTCAGCTTTTTGCCATTAGTATTTTGAAATTTTTAGTGTACAGACATTCTATATATTTTTATGAAATTTATCCCTAAGTATTTCATGTTTTTGATGTTGTCATGTGTATAATTGTTTAATTTTATTTCTAGTGGATCTTGGTTTACAGAAATAAAATTGATTTTTAAATATTTACCTAGTATTCTATAGTTTGCTAAATTCACTTATTTTGTGGTTTATTTTGTGGATTCATAGTATTTTCTAAATGCACATTTATGCTGTTAGTTAATACAGTTTTTCTTATTCCTTTCCAGTCTTGCTTTTTATTTCTTTTTCTTGCCTTATTGCAGTGTCCCGGGCTTCCAGTACAATGCTGAATAGATGTGAAAAAAGCAAGGCTTTCAATGTCAGTGTTGATGTTGCAGCTTTGCTTTCAGATTCCCTGTTTCAGTTTTAGGATGCTCCTTCCTATACTGTTTGCTGAGAGTTTTTTCATGAATAGATGCTGTGTTTTACCAAAAACCTTTTCTGTATCTATTGAGGTGACCACATGGTTATTCTCATTTATTCTTTTTTTTTTTTTTTGACAGGCAGAGTGGACAGTGAGAGAGAGAGACAGAGCGAAAGGTCTTCCTTTGCCGTTGGTTCACCCTCCAATGGCCGCTGTGGCTGATCTGATGGCAGGAGTCAGGTACTTATCCTGGTCTCCCATGGGGTGCAGGGCCCAAGCACCTGGGCCATCCTTCACTGCACTCCCGGGCCACAGCAGAGAGCTGGCCTGGAAGAGGGGCAACCGGGACAGAATCCGGCGCCCCGACCGGGACTAGAACCCGGTGTGCCGGCGCCGCTAGGCGGAGGATTAGCCTATTGAGCCACGGCGCCGGCTTCTCATTTATTCTTATAATAAAGTGAATCATACATTGAATTTGAATTCTAAATCAACTTTGAAGTTTTAGGATTAGCGATACATAACTATGGTCATGACATACTATACTTTATATGTGTTGCAGGATTGATTTAAGCTCTCACCAACCTTTTGTCTATATTTAGGAGAGATTAAGCTACACTTTTGTTTCTCAATGCCTTTTTTCTTTTTAAGATTTTATTTATTTATTTGAAAGGCAGAGTTATAGACAGAGGGAGAGACGGAGAAAAAGACCTTCTATCCGCTGATTCACTCCCCAAATGGCCACAAGAGCCTGAGCTGGGTCAGATGAGAGCCAGGAGACTCTTCTGGGTCTCCTGTGTGGGTGCAGGGGCCTAAGCACTTGGGCCATTCTCAGTTGCTGACTCGGGCCATAGCAGAGACCTGGATGGAAATAGGAGCAGCCAGAACTCGAACCAGCATCTATATGGGATGCCAGCGCCACAGGTGCATGCTGGCCCCTCTTGATGTCTTTATCCAGCTTTTGCACTGACGTATACTGATCTTATAAAATTAGTTAAAAATTGTATAGAACTGATACTATTTATGAAGGTAATTGAAAATGAAACTCGATGAAGGGCGGGATGGGAGAGGGAGTGGAAGAGGGGAGGGCCAGGGGAGGGAGGGAGGTTGGGGGTGGGGAGCCACAATAATATAAAAGCTGCACTTTGTAAATTCACATTTATTAAAAAAAACTATATAACAAAAAAACCTTAATACTTTACCCTTTTAGTATTTTTTATGTTCTACTTAAAACTATTGGTTGAACTCTGTAATTAATACACAGTTACTCTTAGGTGTTTAATTAATGCTATAACTAGTACTCAAGTAGTATTTTACACTTTGTGTTTCTGTGTGGGTGCACACTGTGGAAATCTTAATATATGCTAAATTGATCTTCTGTATATAAAGAGAATTGAAAATGAATCTTGATGTGAATGGAAGGGGAGAGGGAGTGGGAGAGGGGAGTGTTGTGGGTGGGAGGGAAGTTATGGGGGGGGGGAAGCTATTGTAATCCATAAGCTGTACTTTGGAAATTTATGTTCATTAAATAAAATAAAAAAGAACTGATATTATTTGTTGAACATTTTTTTAGATTGTATTTATTTGAGAGGTAGAGTTAGAGAGAGAGGGTGAGACAGAGAGAAAGGTCTTGCATCCGCTGGCTCATTCCCCAATTGGCTGCAATGGCTGGAGCTGTGCCGATCTGAAGCCGGGAGCCAAGAGCTTCTTCCGGGTCTCCCATGTGGCTGCAGGAGCCCAAGGACTTGGGCCACCTTCTACTGCTTTCCTAGGCCATAGCAGAGAGCCGGATCAGAGGAGGAGCAGCCGGGACATGAATGAGTACATGTATGGGATTCCAGCGTCACAGGTGGAGGCTTAGCCCACTAAGCCACAGCACCAGCCCACATTTATTAAACGTTTAACACAATTCATTAGTAGAGCCATTTGGGCCTGGATTCATATGTGTGTGTTAAACATTTTAAGTATTATTTTAATTTTTCCTATACATACTTGACTATTTAGATTTTAAATTTTCTCCTATCAGAATAAATAGTATCTTTCAAGGAATTTGCTTATTTCATCAAACTATTCAATTTATTGGCATAAAGATATGTAAATATTCCTTTATTATTTTAATGTTTGTAGTATCTATATTGCTACTGTTTCTTCCTCATATTGGTAACCAAAGTGTTATGATACTTGCTTTAAAGAATTATGTATCTTTTAAATAAACTAAGTTAAGAAATGAATGTGTGTATAACATCTAGTTACCATGTCCAACATTTTTCCTTCCTTACTGTACATTCCAGTTATGGTCTGTTTAGTTTCATAGTTAGGCAAGGGTATGGGTCTTACACTCAGTAATTCCACTGATTTCAGATTTATCCCCTCTCAGCCCTCCCCAAATTGCCAAATATTCCTGGCAAGTCGTGTCAGTAAACTTTCAGCTTTCTGCCTCTTGCCTTGTATTCAGGTTGGGAAGGCCCTCAGTCAAGGAGCAGCCTGCCACACATCTTGCCTGAAGTTATTCTGCCTGTGAAAGGTGAGTTTTTTCCCTTTCCTGCTCACATTTTGTTGTCTTTGCTCGGTCTTTCTGGCTTACTATGGTTTTGCAGACAAGAAAGGATTTGGGTGGAGTTTATATTCAGAAGTTGGACGCTACTCTTTTATAGTTCTCTTGCTTCCAAGATTTTCTCCTGAAATTCCAGCTACTCTGATAGCTTTGTACTCTGCCTTCTGTCACCAGCAACACTGCAGTTTTCTGTCGCTGGAGTTTTGGGCATTGTAAACTTCTTGGGCAGAAAAGTCACGAATTGAATTTCTTTCCTGCCGTTGTTGCAATCTTTCAAGAGTAAACTGTGTGTGGTTTGTGGTCTCTTTCCAGAGTCTTTACCCGTTGGTGTTTTATTTTGTGCAGTTTTTATCATTATAGTTTACACAATAGTTCACCTGAACAATTCATAATACCATAAAACCCGGCCCTTGGCCTTTCACCATTGGCTTTACAGTCACGTAATGAAATTGTGTCTCATCTGTGTTTTCCACAGATAGGCCATTTTCTGTATTTTTTCTTTGCAAGTGCCTCAAATGCTTTATTTAATTCCATATGCATTTATTGAGTATTTCTTTGATTTGAATACAAAGGTAAATAAAAGCATGGCCTTTAGGACTCGTCTATAAGGAAAAATGATAAATAATGGAGCAAGAATAATAGATTGTTAGTGGTTTCATTTTACAACGAGTCACAGTCCACTGTGGACCACAGTGGATGCAGGGTAGAAATTCTTAGGGGGATCAAAGTCCTCACAAGAATCTCTCAGATTGAACTGAGTTTTGGAAAATAATTAAATGTTGCTCCACCTTTATGAAGTTTTGGATAAATTCCTTTTACTGTCAAATATCTTTCCACAAATATAGTCTGAGTTTTATGACCATTTTCAGAGTTATTGTCTTGCAGAATAAATCCTGGTGATTTCAGAGGAAATACTTTTTTTATTGAAAAATATAACATGCCAGGTATTGTGCTATTTAATTCTTTCTGTAACTGAGTTATTTGCTATTAGCCCCAGTGTAGAGGTAAAACTAATCTGGTTAGTGTCAAACAGTGAGTTAGTAAGTTTTCTTTACCACATATATTCTGGGCACTTACTATGCACCAGACAGGCACTGTTTTAGGTGCTGGGTGTACAAAGAAAAAAAGAAGTCCTTGTTCATGGAGGCTTGCATTCTAATGGGAAAAACCATGTAATAAGCCAACAAACAAAGAAATGCCTCATATATTGATAGTGAACAAGAGATACAGATAATAATGAAAAAGGCACAGAGCTAACATGTTCCTGTTTTTCGGGGACAATCAGAAAAGGAGAGACTTGAATGAGGACCTGGAGGAAGCTCAGGAGAGTACTATGGGAGTATCTGGGTCACAGCATTCACAAGGCAAAGAGAACAGCACTTGCAGGTGTGTTGTGTCGGTGCACTTGAGGATTATCAAAGAGGCCGGTGGGACTGCAGTGGAGGTGGAGGTGGAGAATGGTCAGAAAGGTAGGGGAGGTCCCGCTCAAGGGGCTCTGTAGGCTGACAAACATTGGAATGGATGAAATGAATGGAGGATTTTGAACATTAGACATCCTAGGTCGTACAGGGCTCTCTGGTATGGGAAATAGACTATCGAGAACAAGGTGGGAGCAGGTCAGCCCGGAGGAGCTTATTCCTAGAGCTCGGGGGAGCTTGGACCAGTGTGGTGGCAGTGAAGCTGGAGGACATGTTCTGAGGGCAGAGCTGAAACCACTCCCTGTGGATTGGAAGTGTCCTGGGAAAGAGGGGGTCAAACCCAGGTCAGTCTAATTCCAGACCCACACTTCCTTAAGGACAAAGGAAAGATCTATTTAAAGAAGAGAAGCAGAGGAAGAATGCACAGTTTGTGTGATTAAACTCTTAAGAAACTAAGTTGAAACATGGGTACTGATAAATCCAAACCATTCAAATCATCCAAAATGTCTTCAAACTACATAGCTCACAGTCTCTGCATGAAGTAAGGTCAGTGTGAAGAAAACAAGTAATAAAAGGATTTTAGGCCAATTTGTGAAATCCAGAATTCTGAAAATATAAAAATATTTCTAAGTCTGGAATATTGCTAATAAAGTAAAATGAGAATCATAGCTATCTTTTGAAATGAGATGAACTGTCAGTCCCAGTATTATATAGGTTATTAATTTAAAGTCCAGATAAATACATGGCCCCTTTGATCAAATCCAGTGAATAAGGATTAGGGTCTACTGGTTTCAGTTCTATCTATTGGATACATTCTTTCATCAATTGATGACTTGTTCAAGGTTGCCACTTTTTTGGCCTATTTTGTTTTTAAAACATTTATTTAATTATTTATTAGAGAGAGTGATTGATTGATTGATTTTTCTATCTACTGGTCTACTTCCCAAAAGCCAGACAGGGCTGGACCAGGCAGAAGCCAGGAGCCCAGGACCTGACATCATAGTGAACAGCTGAAATTGGAAGTGGGAGTTGGGTCTTTTTTTTTTAAAAAAAAAGATATATTTATGTATGTATCCATTCACTTGAAAGGCAAATGGAGGGAGGGAGGAATGGGAGGGAAGAGAGAGAATGCTTCCATCCACTAGGCAACTCCCCAAATGCCTGTAATATCCAGGGCTGGGCCAGACCAAAGCTAGGGGCCCAGGACTTCACTCGAGTCTCATGCCTGGGTGACAGAGACCCAAGTACTTGGGCCATCATCCACTGCCTTTATGGGCTCATTAACAGGAAGGTGGATTAGAAGTGGAGCAACTGAGATTTGAACCAGCATTTTGTGTTATGGGGTCATGTTGCAAGTGGCAGTTACTGGCCTCCAAAACCAAGTCTTGAACCCAGGCATTATGATACAAGATGTAGGCATCCCATGGCCGGCACTGTGGTGTAGTAGGTAAAGATGCCACCTGCAGTGCCAGCATCCCACATGGGTACCAGTTCAAGTCCCAGCTACTCCACTTCTAATCCAGCTCTCTCCTATGGTCTGGGAAAGCAGTAGAAGATGGCCCAAGTGCTTGGGCCCCTACACCCGCCTGAGAGACCCAGAAGAAGCTGCTGTCTCCTGGCTTCAGATCAGTACAGCTCCAGCCATTGTGGCCATCTGGAGAGTGAACCAGCAGATGGATGTCCCCCCCTCCCCCCCCGGCTTTGCCTCTGCCTCTCTGTAACTGCCTTTCAAATAAATAAATAAATCTTTTTTAAAAAAATGATGTAGGCATCCCAAGTGGAACCATAACTGCCAGTGCCCGTCCCTGACCTATTTTAAATAAAATGATCAAATAGTGATCCTTTAATACCCATGAGAAACATCCTGAAATAAATACCAACAGGTGACTTTAAGAAGGTCCTACATAATGTTAGCAGATTTAGTAATGTCCCTGGAAGTTCAATGAAGTGCTAAGAAATTGGAAGAACCAGTTTCTAAGAAGTCTTTATGATCTGTATCAGTTACCCTGTGTTTTGAAATTTCCTTCACACTTATTTTGCAATGGCAAAAATTGTGTGTGTGTGTGTGTGTGTGTTGTAGGGAGTTGGGGTAGTAGTTTAAAAAATCAGACAAAGAACATTTGCAGATGCGTTTAAACAAAACTGACTTGGGAACTGTAATTATTCTTTCTGTGATGTTGAGCGTAGTACATGACAATTACATTTCCCCTGAACAAAAAAAGAACCATAAAATAGCAGGGGTTGGAGTAGCTATAGAATTTATCTGTACCAAAGCAATTGGGTTGTGTGGATTCTTTCATTTTATTGTAAATATTTTGCATATATCTAGAGTAAGCATCAGTGATTAGGCTGTAATGGTAACTTGTCAGTCTTAAACACAACAGCTGTGTGTATTTGGAAAGATTAATAACTAGATTGTTCAGTAATTGTGGGAGTATTTACTCATTTGACTAGCAAGACTCTTACTGCTTATTTTGCATGATTTAAATATATTGTTTCATAAATATTTAGGACTACATAGCTTAAAATCTTGTAAGGAATGCATTTTTCCACCAATTATTAAGGAGAATTAAAGGAGAATTATTTCTTTGCAAAACTGATTTTACCTTTGAGAGTGCCTAATGATGTATCATTATACAATTTGATGCTTATTATTTTGTACTCAGTCATGCCTGTATATATCTATACACACATGTAGTTTAGTATTATTATCTATTTTATTTTTTTAAAGCTATTGAGAAGGTAGTAAGCAATTATGCTTCAGTTTTACAGACAACGGTGTAAATCCATTTATGTCGTGCATCAGGATATATCCTGGGAGAAGGAGAACCAGAACAATACTCATTAGTTTTGTATTCTGAGATCAGTGAGCCCCAAAACTTCTCTGTTTCTGGATTGCTCTTTTAACGAATTGGATTAAGCTACATCTGGATTTGCTGTAGAAGAGTCCAAAAGTACATTTGATACTAGTAAAAATTGAGAGTGGAATAAAATGTTGGTGGAGAAGGCTACCTTTTTTTTTTTTTTAATTTGACAGGTAGGATTATAGACAGCGAGAGAGAGAGAGAGAGAGAGAGAGAAAGGTCTTCCTTCCATTGGTTCACTCCCCAAATGGCTGCTATAGCCGGCACTGCACTGATCCAAAGCCAGGAGCCAGGTGCAGGGCCCAAGCACTTGGGCCATCCTCCACTGCTCTCCCGGGCCATAGCAGAGAGTTGGACTGGAAGAGGAGCAACCGGGACTAGAACCCGGCGCCCATATGGGATGCCAGTGCCACAGGCGGAGGATTAACCAAGTGAGCCATGGAGCCAGCCCCAAAGGCTACCTTTTCTAATTAAAATCTAGGCTTTCAAAAGCAAGCATAGTCTGGATTCATATAATTCTGGAACAGCAGACTAAGTGGAATAAATAAAACAATAAATGATGAGCAAAACTAGATTTCTTAATGATTTTGCTCAATATTTTTGTGACAGTTTGCATGTCATATTCATCTTGGTAAACTCTGGAAAGCATACTATCATAAATGAGAATTATTACTGAAGGCAGTAAATA